AACTCGTTACGTATTTACAATTAGGAAAATATTTTTCTATCATTTTTCAAAACCGATCCAAAATGTTTCATTCCAAAATAGTGTATAGTTTTAGAAAAACAACAACAAATATATATATTTAACTATATATTGTATAGGTTTGTGTTGGTATGTGTACATATAAAACTTGGTTATATTCGCAAAGAGCGTGTGAAGAGTTTAAACGAGACGTTTAAAAAAATTTTCCCTCATAGAAATTCTCAGACGACTTGGCGTGCGAGAGATCAACAGATAAGTGATAAAAAGTAATGGGCTTGGTATTATGGGTATTATGGGTATTATGGGTATAAAAGTAGCAAGCGTGTTCGTAATAGCTGGATGAGAACTGGAACTGGAGATAGAGCTTGAGAAACATATCTCTATGTATATAGAGATATACAAAGATATATAGAGATATATGTACATGTGCGTGCATGGGTGTGTATATTCCATATACATTGGAAGAATCGATAAGAATGGAAGAAGAAATGCAAAAACGCATTTATTACGTTGGAAGGGTAACTTTTATTATTGCGACCATACGTTCACAAATCCCGCGATCGCATATTACACGTACGTTCGTAATACGATTTTGTTCTTCGTGTTGAATGTGTAAATGTATCAAGGATTTCTTTAGATAAATTTAACAACAACAAAATTTAATAAAAAAAAGATATAATATTTTATCTATATGTGTAAATCATTTTTACAAATTCTACGTATTTTAGTCTAAAATTGCAATAAATTTCAAAGGCGTAATCTTTGCAGGTGATTTATTGGAAATGTGATAACAATAAATTAAAATAAATAATAGGAAGAAAAGGAAGCACGTAGAGTATCGATAAAGAATGGGAAATTCAATCGTTAGAAATCCTCGCGATTTACATACAATGTAATGAACGCTAAAGCTCCGTTCATAATCATCCTCATAAATCCTTCGAAGGATCGACTAAGCTTAAAGCCAATCCCGACTGTAGTATCGGAAATTCGAGGCTAAGTTCTGAACAATTTTTTTTTATTGACAAAAAATACAAAATACACAAATACACAAATATATAAATATATACGCTTTTATATATTTGGAAATAATTGTAGCATACAAGAAGGGCTTGTTGCAGTGGTAAAAGGGGATTGAAAAGTGTAACGCATAAAATACGATTATATATGATATTTAATCCTGGAATATGAGTAATTAATAACGTTTCATTTGTTGAAGCTTGTGCAATTTTGGAAAAAATGTATCGTTATAAAACAAACAAAAACAAAACAAAAATATAATAAATATAAATAAAAAAGAAAGAGAGAGAAAATAGTGAAAGCAGATTTTCTGGACGATAAAGCACGTATCGTTAATTTAATTTATCGTTCGCGATGATACCTCGAATCTCCACGCATGTTTCACTTGTCAAAGTTTGTGTCACTGTATATTTTTAAAAGTGCGTTTGCTTTTTTTCATTTTCTTTTACACTCGACTTGATTGCTATTATGTACCTCATTTTATAATGAACAAAGTTTCCGTCCATGTGTTGTTACAATTACTATTATTGAAATGAATTTCAACTAGGAAGGAAAAGAAAAAAGATCGAAAATAAAGAATAACGTTATATTAACACTTAATTGATCTTAATGAGATAATTGAAAGTTTATCAAGAAAGAAATTAATTATGACCACTTTTCTCGTAACATTTTTCACAGCCAGTTTGTACACCATTATCAACATTTCCCTGTTAGAGCTCGTGCCAGAGTCAGAAACTTGTAACTCGATTAGAACAAGAAGGAATTCGTAACTACCTTAATGCATTGCGATGTAGCGCGGATTAGAGGCTCTTATTAAATAAATTGCAATTCCGTAGTGCTAGATGCAACTAGGAAAATTTATAAACTTAACTATATACATATCCAGGTGGTACGTATAAAGGCCTCTCCTTAATGCCGAAGCACGTATCTAATTAAAGTATATAATCAAAAGATAATCAATTGTTTTTTATTCAGTAATTTAGTTGATTATTACGATTAGCAGGCAGCATTTATAAAATAGACGAATTTGAGTAGAGCTTAAGCTTCGCTAGGTTGGACTCTATAAACGACTATGTAGCACGAATTAGGTGGTCTATTCGAAAGTCGATATAGAGTCGATATAGAGAGTCGATATAGAGAGTCGATATAGTGGGTTTCGAATTCGATCGAAAACGTATCGACTTTCGATCGGACCAATCAGTTAGCTCCAAAAGGAAATTCTTTTCTCTTATCGTGCTACATACCCTCTGCCTATTCGTCGATGAAACCCGAACAGATCTCTTCGGCAAACAAATGTCAGCTGATGAAAAGAGAGAGAGAGCACTGTTCGTTCGAAAGCAAGTAGCTTAATGAGAACGCCATTGTTGAGATTTTCAAATAAATTGTGGTTGTACTGGCTCACCAAACTCTCCGTATATGTATTACACGTGTACAGTATGTAACGAATGAAGAGAGAATGGAAATCGATTCGAACAGTAATTCAGTAGTAAACGTGAAAGAGAGTAAGAATTATATCCGCTTGGTTAACGTTATCGTCCCGACAAAACCAGATATCTAACAGTTTATTTTTTTCATTCTCAATTTAACTCGATCGACCCTATTTTTAGACTATTTTTCTTCAAATCATATGTCGCTAATAACAAAATAATACTTTTCTTCATTCCAAGTGTACAAATGTAACTTTTTCCTTGTTGGGCAAATACTTTAAAACGCTTGGGGTAGGTATGCATATATTTCTATACCTACATAAATGTTACCTTTGGAATTTTATATTGTCTCTGAAACTGTTTCTTTTTTTTTTTTTTTTTTTTTTTATCTCTTTCTCTCTTTCTCAACTTGTTACTCTTTCTCTTAGAGAGAAACATAAGTTATAGTACACCGAGAGACTCCTACAACGAGACCGAAAGAGAGAGAGAGAGAGAGAAACTTCCGACGAACTTTTCGTCGCTAGAATAATTTCGGTACGTGTATGCAGACTAGATAAAGTTGAAAGCTACCTTCCTTCTGACTATATCTATATGCATATATGTATGCATACATATATGTATATATACAATATATATATGTTACGTTCCAACGATCTATGACGCACATTACATGCCCTTACTTCAAACAGACTTATTTTCCACTTCTAACGTGTTACAGAAATACATAGAAATTTATATGTTAAATTTTGTAAAAAATGAAAATTCACGATTCCCATCTAACATCTTCAAACACTTATCCGACACGCAAGATAGTACGCTAAATCTACTATATAGGTAATTACACCTTTTACGAATAATGTATTGCTACATCGATGAGAACGTAACACGCAAACAATCCAACATAGTTTATAAAAAAAAGTAGCATTTATCTTTATGAAAGAAAAGGAAAAGCAGAAGGAGAAGCAGAAGGAGAAGAAGAAGAAGTCGATGATTTGTTCTTATTAGTTAACAAACGCAAAGCTTAGTTGGGTTTTCTTCTTTTCTCGTGGAAAGTTTGAAAGCAAGTAACGCTTTACTCGCAACATTAGTTGGCTCCTGACCAAAATCGAACGTAAATCGAGTGAACAGGATAGCGTTAAAAAGGATTCCTTGCGAGAGATAACTTTTCCTCTTTTTATCCTTCTCTTTCTTTTGATATCCTTACGTGACCATTGCGTTACTTCTTCTGACACGTTCAAATATTGTAAGCTTTATTTACTTCACTGCCCCCCCATAATACCCATTTTCTTTTTATCCAAAAATAATATGAAAACGTCCTAGACAATAATCAAAGTTTTTAGTTAGAAAGACAAAAAATAATCGTTCATATTCATGAAAATATATAAACACCAAAAATATGATATATATAAGAAAAAAAGGTGGAAAAATTTCGAGCGAATATAAAAGAGCAGTAAAAAAGATACGTGTAGGAGATATAAAAAAAAATGGAAATATCAGGAAAGAAGATACTCTTCTTCGTGCTATATGCGTTCGTACAGTTTATATTACCACGTAGGGATAATATATCCGGTTTGGTCTCCTGCGTGTGTGTGTGTGTGTTTCTTTTTAAATGTACACCCGTCACGAAATTCAACGATTTTGAATACGGCCAGTTGCGATTAAAATGGAGACGATAGCTATCATTTTTCTACAAACGCGATAGGTTTCACGCACACCTCGTTGGACAATACTGATCGTCGTTTACGTGACGTAAGGATATTAATATATCGATGTACATAACATAATCATAATGTGTACATTATGTGCTGCATGCGGGTGTGACTGGACTGTATGACCAACAATTCTTTCGATTCTTTGCAATAATATTGTTCGTTGTTTTTCGAATAAATTGAAAGAAATAATCAAAATGTGATCAAAGCAAATTCACGTACGCACACGCACAGATATACAAATAGAAATAAACACTTTGAAAATGCATGATCTAAAGTCCATAAAAAGTAGTTGTGAATATTTAGAATATTAATGAACACTTCACTCTTGATACGATAGAAATAAATCCAACGTATACGTCACCATTAGTTTCATCAATCGTAACGAAAATGCTCCGATAAATCCGCGCGTGACATCTTGCGAGGGATGCACGTGCATGTGCGTGGCGTGTGCGTGTGCGTGTGCGTGTGCGTGTGCGTGTGCGTGTGTAATATCGTGTACAATTTGTTAGATAAAAACAAACGACAAGAAAGAAAAGTACTTGTTCAAGCTAATATCAAAAAACTCTTATTAATATCTTCTTTTTTATTGTATAATCGAATAAATATTATCCAATCTATTAACTCGTATTATCTTTGGGAGATTATTATTTTTCTTAAGTAATTATTTTGTCTATTTAAAAAATATGATTATTTTCATTAGTTTAAAAATGTCAACTGTAGGAAAAGAGTGCAGAAATAATATCTGACACAATTTGTCTTTTATATGTGACAATCAAATATTTCATTCGTTTATACAATATAATATTGTAATAATTAAAAGACTCACCTAAAAACACTAGATTAGACTTGAAAACCAGACGAATCACAATGAACACTAACCTTAGGGAAAAACTATTTTCTTCGATATTCACACGAAATAAAAGTGCATTCCCGTATAACCGAAAACAACGATGTGCATTCGTTCACATCTAAAATGCAACTTGAACTGTAGCCCGCGCTTTAAAGACTGCCGAGAACGTAGGGGTGAGAAATGTCATAGTGCCTGCGCGAATCTTATTTACAAACTAATTCACCAGAGAGCGGTAACGTACGCGTCAAACTGTCATGGCGAATTATCTTGTAATACCTGTCCCGACATCTAGCGGCTAAAAATTCAACTATCTAGTTAATTTCTTACGATGTTCGATTGCTCGATTGTTCGATTGTTCGATTGTTCGATTGCTCGATTGCTCGACTGTTCGACTGTCGATCTCTCTACTACATTTATTTAAATTTCAATGAATATAAAGCAAATAATATAGAATGATTAATAAATAAATACTTATTAGATTTTGGAATAGAAGGAAAATAGATAGATATATATATATATATAATAAAAATATTACTTCCTCCTCTTTATACATTTTTCTATTCTGATCTTAATGAATAGAATAATAAAATTGTGATTACAGAATACGAAGTAACATTTATATATTTATGATTATATATTTTCGTAAATAAATCTATATTTTTTTGTTTAATTATTATACCTAAAATGCACTGGTTTAGATAACGTTATAATAATAATAATAATTCGATAGTATTAATATCTTGTCAATATTATCTTAACCATCATACAAATTAACAATTTTTTCGACAGCAATTGTTGAATTAACGATAAGCAGACATTAGAGTATTAGAATATTTGAACAATCTAATTAATGTTTAAAACTAAAACGCTTTTCTTTCATCTTAAATAACGAAAATAATAATTAATTCATCTTTCTTCTTTATAAAATATAAACAAAAGAAAAAAACAAAACTTGCATTTCTTATCTTATTTTCTATTGTTATGTCCAATACTTAAAAAATAACTTAGCGTCATATATACTTGGTACGCGTTAGAGCACTTCCACCTTTTGTAGGATCCATCATACGATCCCAATTAGTATGACCAACAACAAAACCAACGGCTCGCATCTTTTCTTGTTGTTTACGTTCCTCTAAATCTGCCCATCTCACCTATAACGTTAAACAGTCCTACCAATCGTTTATAATTCTATTATTATAATTATCTCTTACATATTTTCATTCTATTTGATCAATATAAATGACTATAGTAATAATGATCTCTTATTGCACACACACACATACCCTCTTTTTTCCAGACGTATCTTCCATGTTATAATAATCGGGGACTTGTAAAAAATCTTCCATCGTTTGTGGTTTGCTTTCATTTTTTTTTCTCGCTAAACCATCTAGACGATCTATAATGTAAATGCAATAAAAATATATATATATAATTAAATAATAATAATTATAACAAATTAAATGCAACATTTTAATGTCACATTAGTTAATAATATTTACCTAACTTATCTTCTGCTTCCATTCGTTCCCATTTACTAATACCCTAAAAATGCATATATTTTTACATACATTTATGCAAATATACATGTAATAAAAACTATTAAAGAAATATAAATTTACAATCATTTCCGGAACATCGTCCTGACTATCTTGACTTTCTTCGTTTGGTTGTAATACTTTATCTGAAATTTCTTGACTATCTTCCATTTGTACCTAAAATAAAAACGACGAAATAATATACATATATAAATTGAATCAATATTCCTAGTGAATCAATTTATATATGTATTCATTCAATTGATCGTACTTCTTCGATTGCTTGTTCTTGTAACATCGAATTTACATCTAGTTTTTGATGATAACTTGGCGTGGGTTCAAAATAATCCACAATTCTATTAATTTCATCCTCTGATCGATTATGAATATTTCTTTTTAAACAGATTTGTACATCCATTTCCATTTCGCATACATATACCTATATAGATAAAAAAAAAAAAAAGACAAGATAATTAACATTAACTTCATTAACTTCAAATTGTTCAATTTAATTGATCTTACATACCTTGAATCCTTTACTTTTTGCAAAGCTCCACATATCTTCGTAATCTGATATTTTTTCATTAATACAATCTAATATAATAAAATTGAAGAAACCATCGGTAATATTTTTCTTAAAAGCTTTTACAAGCGATACTATGTAACTTGGTTCCATTGCATCTTCATATTCGTAAACCATTTCCTAATGAATTAAAATAATAGTTATAAATTTGCATAGAATATTATCATGTATATCGACGATATAGGGGTATAGTACGTACCTTTGCTATTACTTTCTTCCCATTGTCATCTTTTGTTTCTATTTCCTTTTCAACGAGGAAATAATCATCAAGGCTTAATATTCTCGGAGCAGAGCCTCCTTGTTCAACTTCCTTGTCCTTATATTTTAAAGATATAATAAATAAGGACATATATAACATATTCGACGACGATATTAAAAAGTGAAATAATGATTTTGAAAGCATACCTTAATTAATTTAGCTACAAATGACTTGCCACTACCAGGGGGACCTCTTAAAATAATAGCTATTTTAGATGGTCTATTTTGACGACCTGGAGGACACAGTAGATCATCCACCATTGTACAGTTAGCCGTTTTCGCCAGTTCCAAAGTCTTTGTTGATGGTAATTCGGATACATTTTGCTGTTTGTCTGTAAAGCTGTAACAAAAAATGTCTCAATGTTAAAATATATTATATTTTATACGCGCATTGTGTTTTAATAATCTACACGTATAGAGTAAAAGTAAATAATATATGATATTTATCAAATTAATTGAGATTTCAATAATCATGACAACTTAAATATTATAAGTTGCATTTAATGCAAATCATTAAAAACTAAATTAATAATAAGAATATTGATAAAGCTTCAAAACATAATCTGGTTTTGTAAGCTTACTAAATTCGGCAAGCCATAATAATGGTTTATATTTGATAATATAAACATTTCTTTCTCAAATTTCTTGCATAAAAATCGCCATGAATTAGAGAATAAATCAAAATGCGACAGTGTTACATTACACGAAAAGAGTAGCAAGATTATTGCAACGTAACGTCGTTACTCGTAACGAATTAACGCGTCTTAAAGTCGCATACCATAACATAAATCAAAATAATCCAAAGTTTAAAAAGATATCTTTTTAAACACTATCTCACACCATGGTAAAAGAAGATTCAGATATTTCAAGAGAGCGTTTAAAAATGTTTGTTTAAATAATAAAATATTACTTATTTGAGTAATATGAAGAAATATTGTATATACATTATATTGCTATACCACCACATACTTCAATTTTCAAGCAGAATATATTTAATATATATTATTCTATAACTTTATAGTCTGTTCAATGAGTTGAATTAGTAAAAATAAACAAATGCACTTGATTGAAACAGGAGCGTATTTCACAACCATCAGATAACAACATAATACTTTCAGGGTGGGGGATTCTTGAAATGGGTAGAATTGTCGCTAAAGTAAAACCTAACGACGATCGATGTAAAAATTCACTCCTGAATTCCTTACCTATTGATATACTTGATAATTTTTATTACTCTCGGTTAAAATAAACATTTTATTTACTTCTACTGACTCGACTCATATGACGGACTGCTAAAGTAATCAAAGTTTAGTAGAGGTAATAACATATAAGAACGTTTAAATCGTATCTTAAAATTATGCCAAGCAGAAAGTCAATCAATGATGCTGCATATAATACGTATGTAATTTCTTACATTGACAAATATTGTAAATCTGTGGAAGTAGTATCCATTGTTTAATATCCTAAAGATTGAAATAAATAAATGAATTTAAATTGATATTGTATTAACATACCTGGTATTTGATGGTTTAGTCTCTATGGTGTTCTTGTTTGAATTCTCCTGCCAGTTAGTACGTCCTTTTGATCTAAAGCAAGTTAAATGTCTTCAAGACACAGGACATATTCATAGAATATATAAATATGAAATATTATTACTTCTAATGTAAATATACAAAAGATAGATATACTAATGTGAAAATTCGATAATGTCATATGTTATGTTATGTTATGTTATATGCATAACGATATAAAAATAAAAATAAAAATAAAATAATATAAACTATTTTCGTGTATATTATTAGAACACTCCTGAAAAGGCATTACCTGTCCTTCTCTCTGTCATTCTCTTTGCTTATATCTGTTTGAACTCGTTCGCATCTCTCATGGCCTCTATCTGTGGCCAAGAAAAATATCAATGAGAAAAAAATGATGTATGTAAAATATCTACAATGCTTTTATTATTATAATATTATAGATTAATATAATTTTGAATTGTATACTTAATAAGCAGCAAATGATATATTGTAAAAATGACGAATATGTAAAAATAACGAAATTTACCTTTATCATTAATCTTATCACTTTGTTGAATTCTTTTGGATTCTTCTCTTTCTTTATCCGAAATATTAGGATAAACTCTTTCTTCTTTGGAGGAGTATTCCCTTTCTTTCTTGTCATCTGCATTTCTCTTTTCTCGTTCATATTTTCTGATATTAGAAGTCCAATCGCTTTCTCTCGGCTCATTTAATTTTGTCTTTCGTCTATGTTCATGTTTCATCACCACTGAATTTTCATATGTCTTCATTTTTTCTTTATATTCTTTCAAGTTCTGTTCATTTTCTTCCCAATTTCTAAAATCTCTTTTCGGCAACATTTCATGATCCGGTACGACAGGTTTTAATTTTCCATGTCCATAATCAAAACATTGAACAGGTGTTAAATGTTCTTGCATTATGGTGCGAGGAGCATGGGCATAATCGATTACTTTAACAGGTACGTGCTCGGTATATTTTTTATCTTTACTGGCACCACCATGGTTATAATTAAATTGTCTCTCTATACAGAATTCTTTGTTAGGTGTACCTCTCATATAAGATGATGATGATGATGATGATGATAACTGAGGATTGTCGATAGGTCGTTGTTTAATAAAAGCAAGAGAATTATTGTACTTGTAATCTAATCCAGCAGAAATGTCTCCATAACCAATTCTAGAATCTCCAACGATATTTGAATCAATAGCAGATTTTTCTACGATCTTCTTATCGAACGGAGACATTTGATTATGAATGTTAGTTTTGAATTCGTGAGGCGGAAGATTAATAGGGCAATCAGGTCCGTATTGTGACCTAGAACCAGTGGGGTCACTAAAATTGCTTTGAAATGATGTTTTACAATCAGGTTTATTCATTTTACCCAATTCAAAATTTAAATTTAATCCTGTATTACAAGTTCCAGTATCAGTAATGCCTCGATCGAATTTCCTATCTAAATAATTTTCATTAAATTTGTCTTGATAAATATCATTATTATTACCACTATCAAGTGCACCACCACCACCACCACCACCACCATCAACAAATGCACCAGAAGGTTTATTGCCAAAGGGTGATCTATTGCTACATAATCTGTTGTTATAATTACGTGTACTCGCTGCTTCATTGTTTATACCTTGAAATTCGAAAGGATTTTCAAATGGTCCACGAGCTCCAAATGGTTTAGTATTTAATCCTGTATTACGTATGTCAAAATGTCTTTCCATTAAATTTCGAGGAGGACCAAGCATTCTATCTTGTAGATTGTGATGTGAAAATTGTCCAGAAGAAAAAGGTCCATCATTAGAACATTGAGGATCAAACGATCCATCCATAGATCTTCTATTATTGAAATTTCTTTCATTTATAGGAGTATGAAATCTGTCAACAAGTCCTCTAGGACCAAAATTTGTATCTTTAAATTCTCTGATATCGCATGGCATTTCATTCGGTCTCCACAGTCCTACATTTCTATTATTATTACCTCCTCTAACAACACCTAATTGTCCACCAATCGATGATCCTCGTGATTTAAATTCTATATCATTTGGTCCTAATGACGAAAATTGTCCATTATTTGGAGACTGTTGTAAAAACCTTCCATCGTTATGGCCCCTAGGACTAAATGAATTTTTTGGATCAAAATATTTAGTAGAATTTCGCTCTAATTCTCCCCCCGTAAGAAAATTACGATCTGCACCAAAAGGCTCTTTTAATTTTGGATTATTGGCAAATGTGTTGTTGTTATCGTTATTCAAATTATCCGTTATTGGCCCTAAATTAGGTAATTCTGGTGGAGGTTCCATGTTTAAATCTTCCGGTTTTGGATCATTCTCTCCCATAAAAGGTAAGACTTCAGATTTTTTCATTTGCTCTGTATCTGATGCATTTGATTCTAATTTTTGATCTGACTGATGTTCTGCTTGTATTTTGTCATCGATTTTTTCATTATTTTCTTCAACAGGAGCAATCAAATTTGAACTTGATGATTGAGTATTACATTCCGTGTTATTAACATCTTTCTTAGACAAATTAACATCAGGAAATGATTTATCCATCCAAGGTGGCTTTTCTAATGATAATACATCCGCCGAGCGTGTACCTTTATCTTCTTGAATATTTGATTGTGTTGTATCCGTAATATTCAACGACGACGATTCTTCTCCTATTTTTTCTGTTTGAGATACTTCTTTTGCTTTAACTGTATTATCTGTTTCATCTTTATTAACAGGAATATCTAATTTTTTCTCTGTAATTATGTTATCTGTATTTAAAGATACATTATCATCCGACAGTCCACTATTCTGCGTATCTTTAATTTGTTGTAATTTAGGATCTCCTCTGTCAAATTGTTGATCAATTCGTTGATCAATTCGTTGATCAATTCGTTGATCAATTCGTTGATCAACATCCACTGAACCAAACATACTTTGATTTTTATCAAATTTAGAAAAATTAGGGGTGGAGGATTCTCGAATAAATGGACTATTAGGATCGTTGAAATCAAAAGGTTTTTCACGTTGGTTAAAATTAGCGTGACCACGAAATCTAAAGTCAAAATTTCCGCCGTGTGGTTTAAAATCATTAGGGCCACGAGGTCCAAATAATCTAGGATTATTGGAAAGTTCAAAATTGCCACTAAGTCGAGGACTATAAGTTGTCATTCCTCTTACTCCCAAATCCCTTTGTCCAAAGTCGGTAGAACTTTTCGATATGAAGGGTAAATCACCACCAGTAATCTTTTTAAAACTCTCACTTAAAGATCCAACATTAACAGTTTTATCAGAATCTTGAAAACTAGGTTTGAATACATCTGTAGCGGCTTTTCTTTTTTCCATAAGCTTCTTTAATTCTGGTGGCAATACATAGTTAGGTTCTATTTGATTATTTCTTTCAAAGTTGCGAGAATTATTATTATCTTTTACATTATCTATTCCTTTGTTTTGTTCAAAATGATCCATATTTCTTCCAAATCTATTGTTGTTTCCGGGGCCAACATTATCACTAGATGATACATTAAAAGGATCAAAACCTGGTGCAAATATATCGCCGCATTCTAATCCACTTCCCTGATCAAATCTTTCATTTCTTGAACCAAAACGATCGTTATTATTGCCAAAACGATTGAGTGGTCCAAATCGGTTACTACTTGGACCAAATCTATCATTACCAGATCCAAATCGTATATTATTTAATCCAAATCTGTCTCTTGATCCAAATCGATCGTTATAACGATCATTTGAATTTCCAAAACGATCCCCAGCAACACCAGATGATCCAAAGCGATCACTCGATCCTGGTGGACCAGAACGATCAATATTGAAACAATCATTGTTTAAATTATTAATCGAATTAAAATTATTTGGTGTATTGAGTTGATTATTACCGCCACCACCACCACCACCACCACCACCACCACCACGTTCCATGAAATTTCTTTCTTGTTGTTTATTATAATTTTTCCCATCAATATCTGTCTCATCTGCTGATTTATAATGTTCATTTCCTCTATTGAATCTCACATTACCATAATTAAATGATCCATCAGATCTAAATTGATTATGTTCGGATAAATTTTTATCTATTTCTCGCCTAAATAATTCTGGACCAGTGCTACCTAATGATCCTTTCCTATTATTCATCCGATCATTATTAGAATTGTCGATTGCATCGAAATTACCAGAATAATCGGATAAACTCGAAGGATCATTGGATCCGAAACGATTAATGTCTGAACTTGCTTTTTCATTAGCACCAAACGTATTCAAATTATTTCCACTTGACCCATAAGAGGATCTGTTCTGTAAAATTGATCTCACACCTGTGTCCGGTACTTGTCTTCCATCATTGTTGTTGTTGTTGTTGTTGTTATTATTATTATTATTATTATTATTAGTAGTAGTAGTAGTAGTATTACTATTATTATTATTATTATTAAAACCTGGTGGTGGTTGTAAAAAATTTGGTCCTGCATTTGGCACATTAGGTGGTGGTAGTGCGAAATTTGGAGGATGCATTGCACTTATTGCTGCTCCAAATGATGGCTGAGTCGATGTAAGATTTTTATGAAAACCGATATAATTTTGCATTCCAGAATTAAATTGAGCTGCCCACTGTGCAGCTTGTTGAGCATTCCAAGATGATACAGTATCCGTATTCGAAGATTGAGATGTTGATTGCTGTGTAGTTATTGCCGGTGTAACTGTTGTAGATGAAATATTGCTTGTGGTCTGAGGTGGAGGAGGTGGTGGTGGAAGTGTTCCTGTATTTTGTTTTCCTGTTAACCCAAGAGTTTTTCCGATGCCTAAAAGATTGTTAATTAATCCTTGATTTTCTGTACTTGATAAAATATTCATTATCTTGTCTCCTCCAGGTAGATTCTTTGTTTTTTCAGTATCCGCTTTAGCGGTCATTTGTTTCTGTTGTTCACGCTTCTTACGCATCATTTCTCTACGTTCAATAAGTTTCTCACGCCAAGATGTCCACTTTGCTTCATATATTTTATAATGTGTCTAAAAAATAGAATCTTAATATTTACTAATATATTAGATCTCAAAAGATTCAATAATTAATATGTTATTGTATGAATAAATATACTTGCAATATAAATGAATATAATACATCACCTACCTTATCAGGATGATTTATATTTTGCTGCTTCCAATCGTTAAACTGTTCTTCCCACTGCTTAAACTGAGCATCAAATGTTTTTTCAGCATCAGTTAATTCTTCGTCTTCTTCAGTTTTTAACTTTTTTGCACTACAAGATTCACTAACAGTATTACTAATACGTTTTTTAGCAGAATTACCGTCATTACTCTGAGCACTCTCCAGAGGCAACGGTGGTGGCAGAGGTGGATTTTGGGAAGAATGAACATTTAATTGCAAAGGCGCGTTACTTACGGGCTGCTTCGAAGGAAATAATGGAAGATTGTTTTGATGTGGCGGAGGAATATTTGTGAATTGATATGTATTAACAGAACTCGGAGGTAAAGGGGGTTTAAAATCCTCTTTAGGAAGTGGTGGTGGCATTGTTGGTAATGGTGGTGCATGACCGGATAAATTTAAATTTTGTGATGACATTTGCTTCATTGTTTCTTGATACTGCAAGGAAAATATTCTATGATGTAACGATAAATAATTCTTACAAGAATATACATATTTCAATGGAAAATATTATTTCATATATGATGTGCACCTTTTCTCCGTACTGTGCTTGCCACTGTTGATATTGTTGGTGCCACTGTTGCCACTGCGTCCAATTTTGTTGCTGAGCAGCGGCCCATTGTTCAGGTGTATATCCAGTAGGTGCCTGAAAAATATTATATAAAAATTTATATAATGATATTGATATAACATCATAGACTTAATATTGTTTCTCTAAAGAAAATCTTGCAATCAAAATTATACTTACTGATTGATTATAGTATTGCATATAAGTTTGCATCATAGCCATTGTATCTGCTCCTGGCGTGGTATAACCAACTGGTGGCTGAGGCATTGAAGAAGTAATGGCACCAGTTGGTACTTGCCATTGATTCCAATTTTGCATTTTTAATCCTTTATTACTCGAGCTAATACCTCGTTAGCTATATACGTTTTTTGTTAATGCATGTTGATCTCTTTTCGATGGCTGCAGTCCATTCGGACGCTATTACGTATTCAGAGAAAATCATTATTGTTATAACCATTATGATGTATCAATAACATATTGAAATATAATTGGAACGATACATAAAATCTATTTGTATATAATAAAAACATTAATAAATATTATAAATATAAATGAGAAAGGATATGAAGTATTATTCATACTTCAATAAGTTATAATACATACAATAGTGAATAATGAGCATTGAAAATTATGTTTGTTCTTTTAAAATGTGTGTTTTTCTTTTTTTTTCTTCTTTTTTYTTCTTTTTTTTTTTTTTTTTTTTTTTTWWYWGRASMWCWSAT